TTCGTAGTTTTATTTTTTTATAAACGTTAACATTGAAAAATATGTCTGTATATTACGTACAAAAAATCATATTCAACTTCGTAGTTTTATTTTTTTATAAACGTTAACATTGAAAAATATGTCTGTATATTACGTACAAAAAATCATATTCAACTTCGTAGTTTTAATTTTTTATATAAACGTTAACATTGAAAAATATGTCTGTATATTACGTACAAAAAATCATATTCAACTTCGTAGTTTTATTTTTTATATAAACGTTAACATTGAAACATATGTATATTACGTACAAAAAATCATATTCAACTTCGTAGTTTTATTTTTTGAACTGAAATTATGAATTGCTGTCAGTTTGATTTTATCTACAAAAGTCCACAACATGGAGAAAAAACTTCGAACAGTACACAAAGAAGTGGTGACGCCAAAATACTTTTACGTAATGCAATACGTAACCTCCTGACCCATCTAGCATTACATTATCCCCCAGAGAAAACATTTGAATTCACTAAATTCGTCCCTTGTCACCCTAGACTCCTCCAACCCACGTACAGCTGTAGGTGGTAAGTCTCGTAATGTCGCGCGACACCAGTCAGCCGTTGCCATCAAATCCATCCTTATTCAGTCTTATGACCCTATAATATTAACATCAACTAAGCGAATTAAGCTACAAATCCATTAACACGTGCTGGGTACGTTAGGAAACAATCATTTTTCAATCATGCCCTTGCAACATTAAACTAAAAAATAATTTGCATAAACATATAGTATTATGATAAATAAGTTTATAAACAGAATTTCACCATAATTTCATCCCCATATTACAAATGGTAATGTACACACGACACTAAAGAAACTATTTTTAACCGTATTAACTTCCCAAATAATTAACATATTCCCCTTACCATATTCATAATATATTTATTTTACCTTTACTTGTATTCTAGTTTTATTATATTAATTTCGTTGTACAAAATGTATAATATTCTATTGATATGCGTATATATATGTGTGCACTATTACGTTTTCTTGCATGACGCCCTATCATATATATATATAGGTCATGCTATTACGCTTTCTTCAGGCCCATAAAATGGAATATTTCTTGGGCCATCATAAAGAATATCATACTGTTATATTCTATGAAAAAAATATTAAAAAATAACAAGGTGTAACTAGGGTACAGTGATACCTTAAGTGATATTCAGCTGCGAAAATATCCATGCTGGCTTTCTTGCAAGTCCAGGATATTTAAAGAAGACATATTATTTAAACTGCTATATCATCTCGGGTACTCAACCAGAGGTTAACTAATATGTAAATTAGCTGTCCCAAAATATATATACGTTCAAAAAACATTTTATCTAATGCCAAAAAATGTGGTCTCCTTTGCATTTTAAATTTGGTTTAAAATGTTATTATTTTAAAATTCTGGACTAACTGTATGATTTAGATCAGTGAGTCCACTATTTGTAATAATTTGAATATGTATTTGTTGAACAACGTGTAATTTGGATATTTACTTTACCGTCAAGATGGATTCACCAATTTGTTTGAGGAATAATGAATAATTTGTATTTTTGTACACCGCATAAAACAATTAAAAAATAATCGGAGTTTGTCTTATTATAACTATTATAAGACAAAACTACCGTTATAAAATAATTTTAGTCGTCAGGGACGTAATGATGTATCATGGAATCTGAAGTTCAAATGAATCTTCATTCAACTTATACTTTATATATATATGCATATATATAGTGGTTTCTTCCCTCACTTGTCACTTTGAAGTCAATCATACAGTGTATATGCTCCAATTGCCAAAACTAAAATAAATAAATATACCACTTATGATGTGTAAGAATGTTTGTTTCCAAACCACTGATACAAATGATAGAGCACCCCCCTCCCCAGTGGCTCGGCGGAAGGTCTCTGACTTATGACGCTAAAAACCGAATTTCGATACCCGTAGTGGGCACAACACAGATAGTCAATTATGCGGCTTTGTATTTAACAATATACAAGCAAACAAACAATTGCTAGGACACCGGGACGAGGCAAACCATCATCCATAAGACAAGCAAATGACCGCCATATATCGTTTCTAGCTCACCTAAATCGTAGGTACCTGCTTCGAAAATGAACCAAATTTTTTTCAGCCTCAAATAGATGCCTCTTCAGTGTATAGTTAGTTAGAAACAGAGTTCACAAGGCTAAGCCTGTATGACAGGCCTCTGTTGAGGTTCTTTACGCTTAGATTACAACGAGTAGTGGACCTACAAGACATGATAAAGTATTATTGTTTTTACAGATAAGTTGCGTTCCACACTGTGCCAGATAAAAGGGGTATGTCATTTGAAGAGAAACTTAAATAGATCCAATCCATATCTTACAGGAACGTGATGTTTATGGTGAAAGAGTGGTATGAATGAGTATTAGTGTACGTGACGACCTCTATATCCTGTGGACTGCTAACTAATGAACTACACTAATAAAGAGACCACGTTTTACAACCCTTTGTACTACTACATGCTAGTGTAAGACGCTAACACCTGACCTCACTGTGCTTGAAAAAGATGTGATTGACTGAACAGAATGGCTTGCACTTCACAGAATTTTAATCCCATCGAAAATGTATAGGATGTATTCTGGAGACACTTCACATCCTGTCAAGTAAATCTAGACGCTGAATATGCTCTGGAAACAACTTGCTTTTTTACAGGTAGCGTTGAGCTTAACAAGCAGCTTTGATGTCAGGCTACGCTTGCTGTTTGCGATGATATACTCCATATTAAATGTGAAAAACTGCAAGAATGTAAAATAACCTCATTTGCAAGCGTAGCCTGAGAGATCAATTATATCACATTGCTGATTTGGAGAAAAATTAACTCGGGGAAATTATTGGAATTATTTGATAAAAAGTAGTTGTGGTTCCTCATAGCTAGAATATTATAGATTATAATTATCCTTTGATTATTTTATGCAGTGTATTCACTCACCGATGTGTAACAGGCTTAGTGTAAGTTTGCTTAATTGTATATGTTTCCTAAAATAAATCGCTCAAAGAAACTAGGAAACGTTGTGCATTTCTTTTAGTTGTTAAAATAATAAATGAATTTGCTTTGTTTTAGTATTTTGTATTATGTCCATGGGAACAAGATGGGGCTTAAATATTATATCTTAGTGTGGCCATTTCTAATATTTGAGTTTTTGTTAACCTCCCAGTGTTTATCTTTCCAGACTGAAGATTTAAGGTTTCGTGATTCGAGTCCAATTACTGCCAAAACAAAATCTCACTTCGCAATTTGGGGCTGTAGGTGCGTTATAAGAACGGTGGTCAAATCCCACTGTTTGGCCTCAGAAGAATAGCCCAAAAGTTAGCGAAGGTGGTGTTGATTAACTGCTTTATCTCTAGTGTGCCCCTTAAAAAGTAGGGACAGTTAGCGCAGAAAGCGTTCATGTATAGATATGCGCGAAATTTACCAAGCCAGCAAACAGATAGTTAACCATATATGATATTCAAAAGTCACATGTGTAAATACTCAAAATCAAAATTATTTTAAAAAAACAACGATTTATCATACATAATAATCATAAAGATGAGACTGTTGTCAGTCTCAAAAATACAAAAAATACTGAATAAGTTACTGTACAAGATAAAATTTCCGATGAGACTGGAAACAGTCTTCTACACTCGACATCTTACTCCTGATAGCGCAGTATAATAAATCGTTGTTTTTTTTTAATTAATTTAGAAACTGTTATTCTAATATAAACATCGTAGATATAATGATTAAAGGCACAATTTCTGAATCATATTGATAGAAACTAAAGAAAATTGAGTTTGAAATGTAATTAACGAGAGTAAGAATAAGAAACGTTTATTTTGATCATGTATAGAAGTATAGCTGGAGAGTGATTTTTTTTATCGGGGAAAGGATGTGGGGGACTTGTCATGATTTTATATGGTCATAAATCACATATTTCGACCTGGAACCTGTTAAGTAATGTGACTTTTAACAGCATCCACTGTCCTTTTAACAATCGTACACTTCCGCTTTAGGCTAGATAACGTAACCTCCTCGGGTTTATTATAGGCCGTGCCTCGCCAGGAACTCATCACGCAGCTACAGTTTAGAAAGGACATGTGTCGTGCAGTGAAGGTGACCCCCTCGCCTTGCCACCCAGAAGGGAAACTGAGCCACTCGTCAAAGGAGAGCCCACCCTTAAAATAAGCCAAAATTTGTTTTACTATAAAAAA